GGTCAGGCAGAGGAGAGAGTTTGATTCATAACTCACAGACCTCTGCCCGTCAGTGTGCTGCAGCTTTGGGAGCTTAGAATGTGAAACCTTCCCGTTGGCTGCTGTATCAAGTTTTGTCAGAAGTGTCCAGAGTCAATCACTCTAGCTCTCCTTCCGTTTCTCTCTTCTCCCTCCCTCCATCTTCAGCCTTGGATTTCTCGTTTTCTATATTCCATAAACATCCCAAGTACTGGCACTCTTTCTTGAGCTCAGTATATTTGCAGTACAGGTAATTGTGTCATAGCTTTCTTCTCACACTTAATGCTTGTTATACTAGTGGTCATCTTGACTCAGCTCTTTTTCAGGCAGTGTTTTGGGACAGGTTTCTTCTGTTCCTATTTGCATAGCTATGCACTACTTTTACTCTCAGCATAACCATTTTTTTTTTCTAAATTTGGAGTCAGTTATTTGTCTGGATATGTTAAATACAGATTATTTTTTCAAAACCTTTGGAAATTTTTTTCAAAATATGGATAATCTTTACAAAGTTTGGGTTTGTAAAAATTTATAGCAGGCATTGCATTGCATTTCTAAGAAGAGGAAAAGAAGCTGATGGAGCCAGGGGTAGTGTTGTAGAGAGGTAGTGAAGCAAGAATAAAGAGGTGCATTCGAGAACTGTAAGAGAACCGGCCACATGGGGTGGGGATGCGTACAACTTGGGGACTTGGATGATGACAAGAGCAGAGGGTTTAGAGTTTTAGGTGGTGAAGTCTGGATAGAGAACCACACTGAACTTCACGCTTTGAAGTAGCCACAAGGGTGCTGTGAGGGGGACTAGATGGCATGACTTCTTGTTTTTATAGATTACTGTTGTAGTCTTGCTTGAATCAAAGAGGCTGAAATTCTGTCTATAGTGCATTCTTTCACATTCAGACACTTCTCCCTGTGTTTGAATTTCCCAACATCTTTGAAAGACTTACTTTATTGTTAGATTTCTGTGGCTATGTTGTCTGTATGTAGGCGTGCATGTCATCCTTGTGTACAGAGGTCAGAGAACAACTTTATGGAGTCCTCTGATTCCCCTTTCTGTGGGTTCCAGGTGTCTCTGTGCCCCTCCCCCACTGTCCTCTTTGTAAATGGTTGCAGTGAGGAGGGGCTTGGCTGAAGGTAGTTTGTGTGAGAGATGAACCATGTACTTGAGACTTGAGAAGTTAGAAGTCATACAGGAAGGAGATTAGTTCATTCCATTTTGATTAGCAGTCTTTTTGGATCATTCTAAAACTGTAATCTACTGTCTGAGTTTGTGCCCTTTTTTATAAGTGTGCCTAGTATTTGAAAGTGGTAATATTAATCACTTTTCATGTGTGTGCTCAGAAAGACTTTAGTTTGTGAATAGCTGCTGATTGCAGACCATATGAGCCTGTCTTAACTCTGTTAAAAGAGTTCCTGTTGTTTTCTCTTTTTTTCTGTTTTGGTGTTTTTGAGACAGGGTCTCTGTTTAGTCCTGTCTGTCTTGGAACTAATAGAGATCTGTCTGCCTCTTCTTCCCCACACACAGCTGGGATTGAAGACCACTATGCCTTGTAAGTTCTTTCTCATTGTTGCAGGTTATATTTTAATGTTTTTTTTCCTTCAATTTATGAACCGAAAAATATCTTTGAATTGCCTTTTGGAACCCCTATGAAATTGGAGCAGTTCCACCATAGGGGACAGTAAGCCACACCTGTAGTCAGCCGTTTCAATTCCACAGCTGCTTTCTGTCTCTTATCTCTATCTGTTGTATACCCAGCCTGAATACATGGTTGTGTTTCAGTGAACCTCAGTATCAATTCTATGTTGTCTTTAACTGACACCAAAATGACTCTTGAGTTCTGCAGCCTAGTAGACTCATCAGCTAAGTAACCATTTGCGTGTTAACCTGTGATTCCATAGTTCTTCATTTCAGGGACTCAGGATTGCTTCTATTTCATTATTCTGCCATTCTGTCTGAAACCCCTGGCTCACAGAGGCTAAGCATTCTACTTACGAATCCCTACTAGCCACTTGTCTTCCAGTTTACTTGTGAGTCTTTGGTACCATTTTTTTTTTGTAAGTTTTTTTTTTTTTTTTTTTAAACAAACGCAGTCATGCTAACTGTTGTTTTGGGGGCATAAGCCTGAGCCCTCGAGGCCCTAACAACTAGGCTCAGTCTCCTATCCACAGCATGCCAGCTAACAGAGAAACAGCTGTAAAAAGCACAGAAAGGAAATTCTGTTGGTGCCCTCACATTGAGAAGAGGATCTTAGAGAGGTCCAGTGACTAGCAAGTCCATCGTGGTTTAGGTTTGAACAGAGAACAAGAGCATAACAGCATGGCTAAGTAGTCCTGGTCAAGGTGTGCTCCTGCCTGGCATTGACCCATCCTTGTCTGAGCTTAATCTATTCTGAGGATTTGTCAAAATTGTGTGAAGTCCCTCCCAGGAACCTGTTCCCCCTCCTGACTGGCACTTTTGGCTTTGGGTATGTATCCCCTTCCCTAGCAGGAGATTTCTGGGGAAATAGCAATTCCTTGGGGCCAGTATTTGAATGATCTTATAGATAGTGAGTGAGAGGCACTTTATTCTTGCTGGAACACTTAAATCATTAACACCTTTTTGTTTACTTGGATGATTTTCAGAGAGCTCTGCTATATCTTATAGCAGAATTTCAGAAATTTTGTTTTCATTTTAAGGGTAAATTTATAAGGTTGAGGTGAGGAGGGGGTTGACTGAGGATTCTCAATCTAATGAGAATTGACTCCATCACTAGTGACCTTAGAACCTTGTTGTGTTAAACAAGCAACTCTGGAACCAAGATTTGAAGACAGAACAACAATGTTGACAGCATATGTCTCCTGGACTCTGTTTCTGTAATTATTGTATAGTAAGTATTAGGTCTTGGGTAAAACCTTTATAATTATATATTTGGTAATGATTTGTTGAAAAGGCTAGGAAGAAAGTGACTATTAGTGTGTAAAATATCTTGAGCATAGGAAGGGGAAAAATGTTAAAGACAAAAACATTGTTTTCATTGTTTGATTTAGTTTTCTTTTGATGAGATCAGTTTTTAGAATTTTTGTATTGTTTTCTTGATATATAAAAAAAGACATCAAGATGTGTAAATGTAGATTTTTAGTTCCTGATAACTGAATTAACTTGTTGGAGCCTAACCTTTCTTTATGTTATATCCTCAGCATTAGTTCCTTAGTTTGGCAGTGAAATTGGAGAATGAAATTGGAGTTACTGACCTCCACTGTATGTTGTTAGGTCTTATAAACATCCCTGTCCAAGACCATTCATCACCCCCTTCAACAAAATCTCTCAGTTTCATAAACTCTGTTTTTGTTTCTTAACAGCCTATTAATTATTTCTCTAGCACTTTGTTTAGTTTGGTGCACATATGCATACAGTTACTCTGTGTAGATTCAGCAAAAGGTGATGAGTATAATTTTGGGGTGGGTGGTCACAAGAGACTTTTATGTGTGCACAACAAGCAGTAACAGGGAGGTTTCTCTATGTGTACCCTGGGAAGAGAGCTGTGGAGAAGTCCAGGGCTAAGCCTTGTGCTTAGAGCCCTGCCATGAGCTTTAGGGTTAGAGGAATTGGTGTAGGGCAAGAGGTGACTAAAAGTCAGCAGTTCTGTCATTGTCTTAGCTCTGGTTGATCTTGAAGAAGTCCCTTGCTTACAGGGATGGGGTAGTTACCAGGATAGTGTTACTTCTGCTTCAGAAGACTGTCCTGTGAGGATACGCTGTCCTTGGTATCCACCGTGATACAGAAGAAAGGTTAAAGACATGATTTTTTGTCTTAGTTCTGGTTGATCTTGAAGAAGTCTCTTGCTTACAGGGGTGGGGTGGTTACCAGGATAGGGTTACTTCTGCTTCAGAGGACTGTCCTGTGAGGATACGCTGTCCTGGGTATCCACCGTGACACAGAAGAAAGGTTAAAGACATGATTTATCTATGCTATCAACCATTCAGGAGATGAGATAAGTTATACAGAGACTTTTGGGAGAGATAAGCAGGTAACCCCAAGTAAAGGAGACAAAACCAAAGTAGAGAAGCCAGGCTTTTATCCTGAATTGAGTTACCTTGAAGCTCAAGTAAGGAGTAGGTGCTTTTTAGAAAGGCAGTTTCTAAGTGCCTGTTACAACTTTCCCCTTGTGTATTAATACTCTCAATCTGATACTAGAGTATCAGCTAGTCTAGCCTTACAGGTTTCCTGTGTGAGTGATAAACTAGTATATGTGAAAGGGCAGACCCTAAAGACAGAGCATATAGGTGAACAGAGCATAAATAGGTATTTATGCCTGAAAATAGGCGTGCCACTATAGAGCAGAGCCCAAAAAATGGAGTCACATTGTTAAAAGCACCATGAGTGTGAATTCTAGTGAAAGGAACTTTAGTGTCAGGTAACCATGTATTAGATCCATTTCTCCATAACTTCCTGGCTGGAGTTACACTTAGAAGGGTTAACACAAGTGACTTCGTTTTTGTTACTGACTTTAAGACAAGGTTTTGCTGTGTTGCCTGGGCTAGCCTCAACCTCATGATTCTTCCCCTTTAGCCTTCCAAGTGTTGGAATTATAGTCTTGTGTTACCATGCCATTTCAGTTCTGATGCCACCCCCGCACCCTTGTCTCTGAACCGTTTTCTCTAACAGTGTTGATTAACTATCCTATGGTTTGGTTTTCTTCAACCCTCTTCACCAGAATGGACTTTATCCTGGTTGGTTTGATTTGGTTCCCGTGTGTAGGGAGAAGGGACAGATGACAACAGGTTAATACAAGTAACCCTTTTTGGATAAATTCAAGCAACTTAAGAAGTATAGAGCAAGTAGGCAGTGCCTACTTGGAGTCCATCCTCAAGTTTAATTGTCTGTCCTGTGGGTGATGTCCAAGCATCCCCCAAAATACCCTCAGGTGATTTTGTTAGAAGTTGTACTTCAGCACAATGCACATTGGACTTTATGCATTTCTAAAACCAGCTTTGTTTTTTTTAAACAGATAAGTGTAAAGCAGGAAATTACTTTTACTGATGTATCTGAGCAACTGATGAGAGACAAAAAACAAGTCAGAGAGCCAGTAGACTTACAGAAAAAGAAGAAGCGGAAACAGCGCTCTCCTGCAAAAGTAAGAGAATGTGTTAAGGTGTCATCACTAACCTTTTAATTTTAAACTGTTGGCTTATCTTGTGGGCAGGAACCTGTTTGGACCTTAAGCCAGATGCACAAGTCTTGACATGGTTTAGTACAGTTGGTATGCTGCACCACCTTCTGCAGGAGGGGTAGAGAAAAGAGATGCATTACCTGTATGGGTGGGGTGGGCCATGACTTTCAGTTTCTCTCTCTCCCACCTGTACCCCCACAAACTAACAGGATTTGTAGGTTCTTGCTTGTCATTCCTATTTTAATACAAGTGCTAATGTTTCATTGATTATTCATCAGAGACACCTTTAGTAGAATGTACGCTCTCTGAGGGCAGAGACCTCATTTTTGTCACAACTCTATCCAGGACCTGAAGGGGGGAGGGCTAAATGGAACCTTAATATTTCGTGACACAAGGAATGGATTGGTAATAGATGCTATTAGGAGTTGGTCTGCTTTTGTGGTTTTTTTTTTTGTTTGTTTGTTTGTTTCCTTTTTTTTTTTTTCTTGCAGTGGTAGTGTCTTGATGTTCGGTAGTATGTATCATTGGCAATTCATCTTCATAGTAATTTCTTACAGCTTACTTTGTGTAGTAAAGAAGACACCCTTTTACCCCCTTTTTTGAAACGGTCTTACTTAGCCAAAGCTAACTTTGAACTTAATAAGTAGCCAAGAATGGACTTTGTGTTTCTAATTCTCCCACCTTTATCTCTTAAGTACTAGATTACATAGGAGCATGCCACCATGCATAGTTTTGGACAGTGCTGGATACTGAATCCAGAGTTTCATCCAGAGCTTTGCATCCTGAGCTACATCTTTAGTTCCCCCTTCTAAATATCATAATACGATATTTTTTTTTTTTTTTTTGGAGACAGGGTCTTGGACATGATCTAGACTAAGCTGGCTTTGAACTTGGAATCTTCCTAGCCCATCTCCTGATTACTAATATGAACTACCATGCTAATTGAGTAGCAGGATCTTTTTGATGGCTACTTACTGTAATTTTTATTTAAAATCATAATCATTATTGTGTACGGTTATACTCTGTCATGGGCTAGAGCAACTAGTACTGGGATGCAAGAGCAGATTACTAAAGTTTTAGTAGTTTTGTGAGTCAGTGAGGCTAATGCTGAACATTAGCCACTGTGGGGATGTTTACGAGGTGGAGACGGGAGCTGCTTCCTGCACCTCTCATTTCCCGTTGTTAGCACACCCCTTGTGCTGTCTTAAGGATGTAGAGCATGTGCTTACGGAGTCAAAGTTCAAGAATTACAGCATTCTAACAGATTTTGATTCTCTGCCATATTTCCCTTCTGTCTTCAAACTTCAGTGATTTGTGTAAATGTATTTTTCTGATTTTTTAACTTGTATTGTGTGTTTAACCATTTTTGCACTTAAAGTTAACAACAGTAGTTTTTTGTTTTTATAGTGCTAGGGAACGCATGCACACATGTGCTCATTCTGGACAAGCATTATACCCTTGAGCTGTGTTCCCAGATCCATAAGGTTTATTAAGCATTTTTATTAGCTGCATAATATATCACTTTGACAAGATCATGTTATAATTAAAGATTATTTTGTTGAGCATTGCTATGTTGTTATATTCCTTTCGTTTCCATTTTAAGTCAATGCTGTACATTATCATTGTGTTATGGAGTCACAGGGTATACATTTGATTTCGAGAATCATTGTACAAGTTATATCCAACCAAGTGTCTGTGACTGGTGCTGCCTGCAACCTCGAGAGCTTGGAGTTGGCCTTCTATGGCTAACTCACCACAAGAGACACTGTAGTTGGAATCATATTTCTTCAGTTTTGGGTCATACTTAGTTCATATTTATTTGTCTGACATTTGTGTTTCACATTTTATGAAATCCTTTCACCCCCCCCCTTCTTGTTTGGAGTATGTGATTAATGTGATTAATGTGATTTATTTTTATTGTTATTGGTCTTTGCATCAACAAATCAGATTCCTCAGAGTAATTTCATGGTCTGTGAAAAATTAACTTCTAAAATTGTAATAATGGTCAATTGTGCTACTTTATGCTCATTGTTTACATATGGCAATCTGTTTTAAGAATTTAAGGTTTATTTATTTTTTTTTATTGTATACATGAGTGTTCTGCCTGCATGTATGTCTGTCTGTACACCACGTGCATGCCTGGTGCCTGCATAGGCCAGAAAAGGACGTTAGTGCTGCTGAACTTGGAGTTACACATGGTTGTGAGCCACCATGTGAGCATCAAGAACAGAACCCAGGTCTTCTGGAAGAGCAACCAGTGTTCTTAACCTGAGCCATTTCTTCAGGCCCGCTGTTTCAAGATTTTAAATCTATACATGTGCAAAGTTATATATTTTCCTAGATATTTTATTACCATATTTTTCTGGTGCTATTCTGTAATTTATTTTTTAAAAAAGTTTGATCTATTTTATGTGTAGGAGTGTTTTCCCGAGTGTATGTGTGTACATTACCTGCATGCCTGGTGTTAATGGACAGAAGATGGCATTGGATCCCCTGGGACTGGAGATATGGATGGTTATGAACTACCATATGAATGCTGGGAACCAAACCCAGTTCCTCTGCAAGAGCTGCAAGTGCTGTTAACTTTACCTAGCTATCTCTTCAGCCCATTATTGTTGTTGTTGTTGTTGTTATTATTGTGTGTGGTTTTTTTTGTGTGTGTTTTTTGTTTTTTGAGACAGGGTTTCTTTGTAGTAGCCTTGGCTGCCCTGGAACTCCCTTTGTAGGCCAGGCTGGTCTCAAACTCACAGAGATACGCTTTCCTCTGTCTCCTGAGTGTTGGAATTAAAGGGGTGCACCAGCACACCTGGCAGAGTGAGAGTGTGTGTGTGTGTGTGTGTGTGTGTGTGTGTGTGTGTGTTGTTCCAGGGCAGAAAAGGGTATTAGATTCCCTGCAGCTGGAGTTATAGCTAGTTCTGAGCTGCCTGCTCACAAGTGGGAATCAAACCCAGGCCCTCTGCAAGAATGGTATATGCTTTTAACCACTTAATCCTCCAGCCCCAATTTGATGCCTTCTGAAGTTCTCACTGAGTCCTAGGTTTTTACTGTCCAATAGAGGATTACCCAGAACATTTTTGGTGATGTGCTCACTAGGCCTTCATGGGTGTGAGGAGGGTGCTGAGGATCAAATCCAAGTGCTGGGATTAAAGGTGTTCGACACCACTGCCCCAGCAAGGCATTTCCAAATACAGATCATGTATTCAGAGTTTTGCTTGTCTAAGTCAGTTCTTTGAAGATTTCTAAAAGCAACACCAAGATATTGTGTCCCAGTCATTGTAGTGGCCAGGGAGCCAATCTGTTCTAAGTGCAGTATACATAAGAGAGCATTTTAGGGCAAGCCCTTCAGTATAGATAGGACAGATACAAATGAGAAGAACAAAAGTAGTCACTTAAAGATTGTTTACAGCAGTTGGGTGGTAGTGGTGCACACCTTTGATCCCAGCACTCTGGGAAGGGGAGAAAGAAGCAGGTTGATCTCTGTGGGTTCAAGGCCAGCCTGGTCTACAGAACAAGTTCTGGGACAGCCAGAACATAGAAACTCTGTTTCAAAAAACAAACAAAAAACAAAACCAAATAACAACAAAAAACTTGTTCATAGCAGGGCATGGCGGCATATGACTCTAAACCCAGCACTTGGGAGGCAGAGGCAAACAGATTTCTGAGTTTGAGGCCAACCTGGTCTACAGAGTGGGTTTCAGGACATCCAGGTCTATGTAGAGACCCTGTGTTAAAAAAGAACAAAAACAAATTTGTTCTTACATGTTAGTATAGTGGGCAGAGAAAAGTATGGCTAATTTTCACATTGATCTGCAGTTTCCTAGGTGAGTGGTTTCTTTGTGTCTGAAGTGTTAGGACTTGGAAGTGTAAGCTGAGTTCTTTCATATCTCTTCAAAAGTGTGTTAGTGCCATACTTCAGATATTTCATTGAAATAACTTATTCTGCTATTTTCACATGAAGACAGATAAGTTTATCGTCGGTTTGTAGTTTATAAATCAATGTGCTGATTATCTGAAAATTTAAAATTTTTTTAAATTTCTCAAAGTTTGAGGTGTAATAAATGCTAAGAAAGTGCAGAAGACTTTGAGGAAAGTTGTCAGAGGGTGGAATGTTTAGGAATAATATGTAGTAGATGCTTGAGAACTGGAATTCATTATCTTTGGAGAATTCATAATCTCCCTCAAGACCTTTGCCAAACCCTGGTTGCTGCCCATCACCAGTATCTTCAGTATATGTATCGTCAGATGGGATCTGAAGAGGAAATAGAACCAAAGTAACATGATGGGACTCAAGTGAGCAGATGAAAGCTCTGTCACACTAACTGTGGTGCATTGCACTGCAGACAGCATACAGTTATGTCTGAACTTTTGTCATCTTAAAATAGATGAAATGCTTTGTAACTGAGTTGGGGACTATTATCTGGGTTAAGGTGTTTTCTCTATTGTGAAATAATCTGTTAAAGAAAATTGAAGAGGTTGTAGTCACTTGTTTCTTTCAAATGCCACATTTCTTCTTTGGGTGAGGGGTGTAGAGAGCTGCTTTGATTGAAGTAGATTGAGTTGAACCCCAGAGCTTCATGCATGCCAAATAAGTGCCTACTATTGAAGCACCTACTATACTCCCAACCCAAATACAATTTCATTTTTAACCAAAATAGTACATTTAACCATAAATAAGCCTTTGGTGTCTCAATGCTGCTGTAATAAGCTTTTTAAACTTGCATGAGTAGTAAAACAGCCCTGTGAGAAGACTGATCTTCCCCTCACAGTGGAGATGTGAGCATTGGACTGGAAGTGTTCTTGTTGACTGCTTCTGATGGCTTCCCTGTCTCATTCCTAAGGACAGGCTACACATTGTTGTATTGCTGTATCTGTGGGCTACTCGGCACCACTTTGTTTTGCCTCTTTAAATCTGCAATTGTTCTGTATTACAGATGGCTAAGTTATTAGAAGCCTGTGAAGTCTGT